GAGGCGGCTGGCGGCCTCCTCGTACGCCACAGAAAATGGCTGCTGGAAGACAAAAAAGCCGTAAGAGGAAAGGAGCTGAGCTGAAACGAGAGGGAATGGTTTATTTATTTTTTTTTAGCTGAGGATGGACAGACAGCTTTGGGGAAAGAAAACAAAGTTATGAGAAAGGTGGCTATGGAGCAGGCAGCCCAGAGCCTGTGGTTTGCCGGAGCGGGTTGCCCGGGGTGGTTGGACGTGCTTCTGCGACGCGCCCTTACAGCGTTTTAGGGACGGTAAAAGAAATCCCTGTGCCTGGGGACGTGCTCCTCCGCGAGGTGCGGCAGAGGAGGCCGGGGAGGTGCCAGGAGCAGCTCCTGGTGCCTCACCTCCGCCGTCTCCATCGCCCGCTCCTAGCGCTGGGCTCTGGGAGCCAAAACCCCCGAGTCCGTAAGAGGAGAAGTTCCTGACGGGGCAGAATAGTTTCCATCTGATGCTAATGAGGCCGGAGACGGGCGTTTGGAGCTTTGCACTGGAGGCTTTTCCTCGCGGCACAACCCTGAGCTGACAACATTTTCCTAATTGCCGAGGCCAGGGTGAACTGGTTTCCCCTCTCCATGCCTGTCCTCCCAGCCGCCTCTCGCCCGCCTCCAGGGCCAGGGCTGGAGCTGGGAAGCTGAGCCATCGCTCCCAGCGTTAGCTGGCTGCAGATCTCCCGTTCAGCCCCAGAAACGTTTAAGGTCGGCGCTCCAGTGTCTGGACTGGGCTGCAAACCTCTGGCCAGCATTTGAGCTGACTAAAGGAGATTTTTTTTAAATTTTTTTTTTCCCCTCCCAGAGTGGCCGCTCCGGCATCTTGCAGGCTTCCCGAGGCTGGAATGTGCAGAGAGAGGCTCTTCTGGCCCTGGTAACTACAGCTTCTCTTTGGGATAATAATGTTTTGGAGAGCGAGAAATAGCCGGTTTGCCTCTGCTCCCCTTGCGCGGGCTGAAGGCAGGCGCTCCCCGGCGTGGCCAATTCCAGAGGTGCTCTGTGTGCCCCAGGGCCCTGGCCCCTCGCCCTGAGCGGCCGGGAGGTGAGGATGCAAAAGCCAAAGACTTGGTGGCCCTGGAGGGAGGCTACGCAGCGCCTGCCAAGGTGCCAGGAGATAAAACACAGCTCCTCCGAATTTTCCGAGGGTTGCGTTGCGTGGGAAAAGTGCTCCCTCTCCTCTTCACCCGTGTGGGGAGACAACCCTCGGGGAGAGGAAGGCTTCGGGCCCCGTTTTCTCATCCTCCTCCTTCCAAAAAGCATTCCCAATGGGCCTTGCCCCACCGAGCATCCCGAGTCCTGAGCATCCCGAGTCCCAAGCATCCTGAGTCCTGAGCATCCCAAGTCCCAAGGATCCCGAGTCCCGAGCATCCCAAGCCCTGAGCATCCCGAGTCCCGAGCATCCCGAGTCCTGAGTATCCCGAGTCCCGAGCATCCCGAGTCCCGAACATCCCGAGTCCTGAGCATCCCAAGTCCCAAGGATCCTGAGTCCCAAGGATCCCGAGTCCCGAGCATCCTGAGTCCTGAGCATCCCGAGTCCCAAGGATCCTGAGTCCCGAGCATCCCGGGTCCTGAGCATCCCGGGTCCCGAGCATCCCGGGTCCCGAGCATCCCAAGTCCCAAGCATCCCAAGTCC